GGGCCTAACTCATTGATCAGTTGTCGCTCGCGGATCAAAACGAGTGTTTTTGATGAAAACGTAATACAACGACAATTCAACTCGGATATCGTCTCAATGATTCTTTTATGTGATTAATCTACCAAATTCAAAATGGAGGGGGAGTTGGTTTGGTTTCTGATCGGATAAATAAAGAAAATGCAATTAAGCGGTTAAAATAAGTGATTATCAAAATAAGTCAATCTACTGTTTTCGGTTCCGACTTATCACGGGTTTCTACCTTACCAATTTCCTAAGCGATTTCGATCTCTATTCGATTCCAATGTCAATTAACAAGCGCAAAAGACATAAACTAGATTAACAATCCTATATTCCAAATTAAGCAAACGGATTAAGTTTTCGTAAATTAAGCAAACACGAATTATAAACGCGAATTAACGACAAAGCGACGTAACGACGAATAAAAGCTAAGGATGCAATCATACGAATTTAATCAAAACAATTCTATAAACTAACAGATTAAGGAAAAGCAATTCATAGAATAGTGTTTAAAGAGAAACGAATTAGATTGATAAAGTAAAAACCTCAAAGCGTTGGAACGCGATTACAGCAGAATGACTCTAAGGAATTAGCTCTCCATGGTTCTCTCAAAGCTCCTAATGTATTTTTCGTGAAAATGTAACTAGGTGAACAGTAACACGGGTATTTTTCCTTTAAAAAGAAAGCAAATTCGGGTCATAACCCAACTGGGTCGAAAACATAACCCAGGCCCAATACATGACCCAACACTAAAATAAAATTCTAATGCAGTAACTTCAAACAGAATTCTGGAATTTTGGGCTCCGAATCTGACTTCAACTCCAACACGAAAGTCGTAGCTCTCTCTCTTAGCTTTCCGGCAATTTTTAGAACGCCTCAAACGGATTTCCGGAACTCCAGTTATGATCGTTTTCGTGCAGACTGCTAAAGCTGAAAAATAAATGCGGAAATCAAATTAAGCCAAAAATAAAATAAAATATAAAAACAAAATAAAACATAAAAATAATCAAGATAAAGTAAAGAAATGCCTAAGTAAAAATATAGGAGAAAGTGCATAAATATGCACTGATCACTCATCACGCTGGGAACGCTTAAGCGTCTCCCCATGGACACAAACCTTAGGATCTATGACATTTTGATATTAATGATTATAGGAATACCTTAATGAATATAATGAGAAAAAATTTTAAACAATGACAACGATAATTCTAAAATACAAAAGTGTACAGACAAGTGTTTGACACTGGTTGGCTTGTGGATTTTTCTCAACCGGTATTCGTAATGTCTTGAAAACTCTTCGAATGAGGATAAAAAGAAATAATCTTCTTATAGGATGATATATTTGTGATCATAGTCTATATATAGAATGATAATCATTTAGAATTCTCATTATTTCGAAATGGATTATCTTGACATCCACTTATATTTAAGCACATATTCAATTAAATAATTAATTATTAAATATAATTAATTATTTTATTTACTTACTCAACCGATTAAGATTCTTATATATATATATATATATATATATATATATATATATATATTATATATATATATATATATATATATATATATATATATATATATATATATATATATATATATATATATATATATATATATATATATATATATATATATATATATATATATATATATATATATATATATATATATATATATATATATATATATATATATATATATATATATATATATATATATATATACATATATATATATATATATATATATATATATATATATATATATATATATATATATATATATATATATACATACATATATATATATACATACATATATATATATACATACATATATATATATACATACATATATATGTATATATATGTATATGTATATATATGTATATGTATATATATATATATATATATATATATATATATATATATATATATATATATATATATATATATATATATATATATATATATATATATATATATATATATATATATATATATATATATATATATATATATATATATATATATATATATATATATATATATATATATAATATATATATATATATATATATATATATATATATATATATATATATATATATATATATATATATATATATATATATATATATATATATATATATATATATATATATATATATATATATATATATATATATATATATATATATATATATATATATATATATATATATATATATATATATATATATATATATATATATATATATATATATATATATATAGAAAAATGCAACACCTTTAGTTGGTTTTCTGACAAGAGTCAAAATCTGTTGCATTCTTCTTGGATTTCTTTCGTAGGGGATCTAGAAAAATGCAACACCTTTAGTTGGAATTTTGATTGTCTTGCAAAACTGTATAGAGAAATGTGCAAGGTCGCGGTCAAAGATATCAGGAGCATGAGTGGTTCGTCTTCAACACAACCAACTGCCGCACCAATGCATCAGGATGTGCCACCAATGTACACATCCCAATTTAGAGGACACTCATCTTCATTTGCTCAGCATACATACCAACACACACAGACCACCGAACACCATATATTTTATGCAACCTCATCCCAACACCAAACTCCCTACACTCCACTCCCTTAATAAAACTACCACTAAACTACAACCAACAATATCAACACCAATCCACCCTTCGATCAGCTTTACAGTTTACTCCTGTTCCTCCGCCAAATTTTGATCAATCAAACCCCTCAATCCCAACATCAAACCTTCAACACTTCATTCTCTCAACCCACCTCCGTCTGATGATGGCTACTACCCAACCCTCCAACAAATTCAACCCGAAACTTACACCCAACAACCACAACTATCGCATTCATTCCAACATTTTTTTTCCGACAGAGGATCAACTTATGCAAATGTCAAATTTTAACATTGATGACCTTCTTTCAGAGCAACTTACGACACAAACAGACCCCCTTCAAGACAGACGAACCCCCCCTAAAATACATTACGATCAAGATATGTTTTTCTATTTTTCATCACCTACAAAAAATGCAAATGAACGTATACGTAGAGAATATCGACAAAAAGGACACTAGGGGTAGAACTAACGGTCATTTTTGATGCCATTTTTGATGAAATATATTTTATTTGTCAATAATTAATACAAAATAATAATTTTGTTTGAATAAATTTTATTCTTTCATATATATTTTTATTACATTACATTTAATTTTAATAGTAAATATATTTTTTAATTAATATATAAGTATTAAATTAATATAATATATTTTTAATAATAAAAATAATTAAATAGAAAATTGATATAAAATAAAAATTTGAAAAAAAAAAATTAAAAATTCGCCAATCCAATAAACGAACACCTTGATGCATAAGATGTCTTTTTCACCTCTTTGCCATCCTAAGAGACGAACTATTTTTTTTTATAAAAAAATATAAGAAAATGCTAACGAATAAAAAAATATAGGAAATGCTAACGAGTGCTTAGGACATTGGTTAAAAGATTAAAATGAAAAGTTGGACATTATTTAAGAGATTGAAAATATATATTTTTTTTTAAATATATGTGTATTCAATGCCCTGAAAAGAAAAATAAGCAGACTTTTTAAAAAATATTGTGTGTATTGAGTGAATTAAATATAACATATTTTTTTATTTAAAATTCTTAACTAATGCCGTGAGGGCACTGGTTAGCATGATCCAAAAATATATTATACTATGTAAGGGTAGAAGAGTAGAAGAGACCATTCCCAGATTCTAAAATAGTAAAGAAAAATATCCAAAAATAATTGTGTAAAAGGAGCATGTTAGATTTCATCACGCACACACTAGTTTCAAAGAGAATTTGAAAGAGAAAACATGATGTGATGTAATTAGCAGTAATTAACAATCCTTACAAGAAAAAAGTTAAAAGTGTTCAAATCTAGATCCAGGAGCTTGTACGAAAAGAAAAACAAGTAAAATTCGATATTATTCTAATCAACCTTGACGTTAATGACATTGTTCCTTTCTTCTTCCTTCATTTTAGGCACACTAACCTTGAGCACACCGTTTTTCATCTCAGCTTTAATCTCATCAATCTTGTAAAGCTTTTCAGGTAAATCAATTCGGCTAGAGAATCGACGACCACTTTCCTCCTCTTCCTCACTTTCTTTTGCACCTTTTTCACCTTTAATGGTAAGAGTGTTCTGTTGGACGGAGATCTTCACGTCTTCTTTACCGAGTCCAGGCATATCCAAACGGAGAAGCAGAGCATCCTTTGTCTCTCTCGCATCCCATCCGCGTCGCGAAGCAGCAGAAAGGACCGAATTGTCCGTCAGTAAATCCACCATGTTTAGGACTTGACTTAAGCTCCGTGGTGGAGAAAACGGATCGAACACATCTAAAATCAAAGAAAGTTACGTTATATACTAGTGAATCAAATCAACATAACGGAAGAGGGAGAGCGATGACAACTACCTGAGAGAAGAAGATCTTCGCGGCGAGTGCGAGGGAAGGAGCGACGATCGACATCAACGTTACGGTCTTCAGAGTGTTGATCGTGCTGGCGCATGGCGTTGGTGTTGAAAGAGCGCGAAGCGGAAGAGACGACGGGGCGAAGAAGAGACCTTGAAAGAAGGGCGGAGGAGAGAAATCGCTTCACTGCAATAGAAGAAGCCATTGAGATTGCGGGAGAAGATTGTTGTTTTAAGAGTAGATAATGGATTCTGCAAATTCTGTTAGCAAAAATGGAAGAGGCGGTTATATTTGAAGGAGAGAAAGGGGGGACTAGAAGGTGCTGCAAAATTAATAGAAGGTTCCAGACCTCAAATATTCCGTTGTAACTGTTTCTCGAAGGATCTACCCTCTAATCTGCTCACGCGGTTATATATTTCTCATTTCACTAATTAGTTAGTAATATTTTATTTTCTTATAAATTACTAAATTAATATTTTGATAACATTTTAGTTTTAGTTTTACTTCTGACCATTTTTTAATAATATTATTTATAGAAGTTTAAAGAAGACCTAAATTTAGTTACAATAAAAACTAACGTTAGACTGATTGCAAGTATTTTTTCCTCGTTGTTGGATTAGAGCAATAAAGAAGACTTAAATGATAGAAGGTCCAAGACTGAATTTTAACTGAAAAGATGTGTAGAATAGATAAATATTTATTTTAATCAGAATCAAACAAACTTTACTTTTCATTGCATTAATCACCATCTAATTTATTCAAATATTTGTCTACACAGTAGGTGGCATCACGCACAAATAATTTCAACCTTTCTTGATATATAATGGGAATCATATCATTTTATGTATTCAAATCCACCCTCATTAACATAAGACTTCTCATTCTCTTACTATCTAAAGTGTTAGAGTACTAACTTTGCAAGTCTATATCGCTCTGTCACATCGGAAGCATTGTTGCACCGTAGTGAAACACAAATCCACCATCTCATCTTTTATTTCCAATTTCTAACCAAACATTAGCGTCGTGTGTGGAAATCGATTTCTAATTCCGGCTAATTTTAACAAAAAATGATTGTTTCTCTATCAAAGATCCATATCATCGATCTCCTTTTCTTGAAGCATCAAATCAATATCATCCTCTGACATATCTATCATCAGACTCATCGAACATGGTGACATCTAAAGTCACTTGATTTGTCGTCCAACAACAAAATGTTAATGTGGTCGTTGAAGCTACAAAAGTTCTACTTCATTATTCAAAAGACTTAAGTTCTAGATGAGGTTCTAAGTCAATGTTGAATGAGGCAATTGACTTGAAGTTATGAAAGACGGAAAGTGTCAAAGCTTGATAGATTATGCGCTTAACGTGTGTCTGGGTGATTAATTTAATGTAAAGGTATTATAGTAATTGTCAAAGTACTAATGTATCACACACATACACACACGCACACACGTATATACGCACGCATTCAAGCACGCGCACAGACACAGACGCACACACAATCTTTCCAAAACCTCTTTGATTTTTGTTGTGAATTGATGTTGTCAAGAACAAACCAAAATATGAGAAAAAAATTAAGTTTCTTGAACAAACACAAGAAACCCTATTATGTTTTAAAAAAGATAGAGAAGCAGAATAAGAATTGGTTAAAAATATTTTACTATTCACTTAATCAATAAGGATTCAAAGATTACAAGTGAATACCAACGATTAATCTTTCTCAACAACCTAAGAGAACTAGTTTATTTATAGAGTACTAAGCTAACTTAGGCTACAAGATAACTTAACAATTGGGCTTACAAGCAAGACTCAATTCAACATGCTAACTTAAACACAAAGCTAACATATTTCAACAACTTGGTTGAATAGACTTCGACTACAACATGCATAACTCCTATCAAACCATGAAGCTACCTTTGTCGCACTAGAGTTTGATCCAAATACCACAAATCTCCACCTTGGAACAAACTCTACATAAATAAGAGAACAAATTAGCTTTCATCATGTAGCTTTATCAACTACATACAGTTGAAAAACTTGCAACTTGGCAATGTCTTGGTGATCATATTAGCAGCATTATCATCAGTCGAAACCTTCAACACTTGAATTTTTCCATGCTCGATTATCTTTCTGACTAATTACAACTTCACATTAATGTGCTTGGTTCGCTCATGATAGGCTGAATTCTTCGACTGGTGTATAACACTTTAACCATCGAATTTAACAGTGATAACTCGACCTTGAAGTTTCAGCTCCTTAGCAAAACCTTCAAGCCACAATGATTTTTTCATAGCTTGAGTAAGGGCGATACACTCTGCTTTAGTGGTTGATAAGGAAATAACTTTTTAAAGTGTTGCTTTCCAACTAATTGTTGTGCTGAACATATTGAACACATATCCAGAAATAGATTTTCTAGAATTCATAAAATCTGCATAATTAGAGTCGACAAATCTTTCGATTTCGTCTTCGCTATCATCACCATAGGCTCCACCATAAATTTGGACTCTGCTCAGAGACCCGTTGATGTACATAAGAATCTACTTTAATGCTTGCCAGTGCACCTTTCCAGGATTGACCATATACCTGCTTACAAGGCCTACTTTGTACGCTATGTGTGGCCTCCTACAGACCATAACATACATCAAAGAACCTATTATACTAGTATATAGAATGTTATTCATATAGGCTTTTTCAACTTCAGTACTAGGACTTTGAGTCGAACTCAGCATGTACTAAGGATTAGTCGATGTTAGAATGAGCTTTGAATTCGACATACTAAACTTGTCAAGAATCTAATTTAGGTATGCCTCTTGAGATAAAGATAATATTGACTGATTTCTATCTCTTCAAATGTCAACCCCAAGAATTATGGTGGCAGCTCCCAAATCTTTCACGTCGAACTCCTTATCGAGTTCAACCTTCACCTTCATAACATCTTCGACATTGTTGCTTGCTATGAGGATGTCATCCACATAAAGCAACAAAATAACAAGTGAATTTCTAGGTCAAAATCTGAAGTAAACACAGTGGTCGAACTAGATCCTAGTGAAACCAATGTGTGTCATGAACTTGTCAAATCTCTTATTCCATTGTCGATGAGATTGTTTCAGGTCATAAAAAGACCTATTCATCTTCCACGTGTAATATTCCTTCCCTTTTTTTTGCATACCCTTTAGGTTGCCTCATCGGGGTTGTTTCATCCAGAACACCACACAGGAAGATTGTCTTCACATCCATGTGTTCAAGTTCTAGGTCAAACTTCACCACCATAGCTAACAAAATTCTAATTGACGTATGCTTTACAATAGGTAAGAACACATCATTAAGTTTGATACCTTCTTTCTGAGTGAACCCCCAAGAAACCAACCTTACCTTAAAACGCTTCGACATCACTCCTTCTATTCCTTCCTTAACCTTGAAGGCCCACTTACAGCTGACTAACATGGCCCCTGTAGGTTTCTTGATCAACTTCCAAGTGTTATTATCATGAAGATATTTCATCTCATTATCCCATGGTTTTCAGCCATTCAGTCTTGTCTCGACTCCTCTTAACTTCTTTATAATCTCTAGGTTCTTCATCCAGAACCTCATTTACAAAGATTAAGGCATAAACTATAAGATATGCATAACTAAGTCTGTGAGGTGGCTTGATGACTCTTCTCGACCTATATCTTTCCATCAGGTAGTTATTATCAGTTTCCTCAGCTTCGAAAACAACTTCTTCGACTTCATCTGAGTCATGCAATTCAGCATCATTATGCTCCACCTTAACAAGAATCTCTTCTTGTTCCAGATCTTCTTCAGAGATCTTCGAACTTCGACCAATGTCATCATTTTTCTTGAAAGCCATCTCATCTTCATTGAAAACTACATCTCGACTTGTGATACACCTCTTACGACCTGGTTTTAGGCACCACAGACTATAAGCTTTGACTCCTTCAAGGTATCCAAGAAAAATACATCTCAGAGCTATAACTTCGACCATGTCTTGCCTAATATGAGCATAGGCAAAAAAATTCAAATACTTTAAGTCTGTCGAGACTATGTGGATGTTCCGACCAGAATTCTTCAGGTATCTTCATTATTAAGGTTGTCGAGGGACACTTATTTATCAAGTATGTTGCAGTCACAATAGCATCTGCCCAAAACACCTTCTTTAATCATGCACTTACCAACAAGCACTTCACCCTTTCCAAAATGGTTTGATTAAACATTTTAGCCAAACCATTTTGTAAGGGAGTTTCTGTAGTATTTATGTGCCTTGCAATAACATATGCAACACGATAGCTTTTAAAAGCCTCATTGAAAAATTCAAGACCGTTGATCGGAAAAATAGTAAGTGTACTATTTTTGTCGACTGTAGTTAAAATAGGGTTTTATCCCGAGTATCGATCACGAGGACTGCGTAGGAAATAAAGCTCTATAATAATTCAACTAAACAAAAATACTTGGGGTTTTGGATTTTAGTTGCAAATAATAAACTACAGAGAGAAAATAAAGCAAAAGAGTAAAAAAAGTTTCTGACAGATATGAGAAGCATGCTAGAGATGGTGTATGAATTGCCTTATAACAACCTTAATCTTATTTACAAGACATGGCTTAAAATAAACCTTTACCAATTCTCACGTATATTTTCCCCTAAGGCCTTAGAAAGAAAAACCTTTGATATTCATCCCAAACCCTAAGTCCTTAGAGATTTAGGATGAAATCAAGCATTATATTTTATCAAGAATGTTACGGTTACTAGAGGATATCTCTAGTCCTAGGTGATATCTACTATAGTATTATTGCACAAAAAGTATTAACAGTGGTTTGTCCAACCTAAGGTTAACCGTAAATCAATTTCCACTTGTCCAATAGAAAAAGCATTAAACACATTGTACAATAACATTGATTATGAAAAAAGAACTTATGTCATAGAATAAAGGAAATCAGGTTTGTTACAAAAGAAATTCAGGGACACCCTCTAGCATTGAGGGGTTTACCTACTCATAAGATTAAGAGATAATACAAAATAAAAATTAGACATTACAAGATAATAATATTCCTTTGATCTTCAATTGCTTCCGCTCATGAAAACCTTCAGTTCTCCAATCTCCTTGATCTCTCCAATCTTAATCGTAAAATTCTTCTACCGTCAAAAAGTCTCTTTTTCCTTCTCAAAATGCGTCTTAAATACTCCCAGGTCCAACACATCATTAGGAA